TAAAGAGAATACTTTTCGGCATTACCACATTCAGTTGCTGTAGTGTCGACCCAGCTGCTTACATCGCTTCTTGCTGAATGCAGCCTCCCCTACCCACTTGCATGAACTCCACAACAAACTGTTTCCCTGAACTCAGTGCATGTTAAGTGGTCCTCCCAGCTTCTCAGATTTAAGCCCCTTCTCCCAGCTAAATTTGGCTGTCTTCCAATCATCAAAACCAACAAAAGCTCATGTTTCCACAACTACAACCCAAGCATAATTCCAAACCTTAATAAAACGTGCCAAAGGCTTAGGAATACTCTTACACACCTTTTTCAGTAAGCTCTTGTGCTTCCGTTAGAAAGCAGTTTAAGGCTGTGCTAAGGTTGCTCAGAAGCAACTGGCAGTGCTGAAGAGACTGCAATGTCTGTGGGTCAATGAAGTTGCAAGAGCCATCAAACAGCGGAACACCTTTTTGAGAATGAATATTAAATCGTTAGCCTGCAGAGCAATTTCAGAGTTTCAAAGTACACTTAAAGAACCACGTGCAATATCCTATAGCAGCAGATTACTGAACAAGCTCAGTTAGAAAGAATGATTTTATGTTTGCAGAATGACTACACCAGGACTCACATGTTTGGTCCAATTCGTCTTTTGTATAGATCACTTCCTTCCACGTCCACTCAAGAGCAAACCGTAAATTAGCAGCAGAACTTGGCTGCTCTTTAAAAAAAGAGAACAGAAAAGAACTGAATCAACAATTTCAAACTAAAAAATATGTGACATCAAAACAACATAAGAAGTGTTACCTTCAGACGTCCAACGCTTAATGCATCCAGTCAGAAGTTCTAAAGAACCTGCCTGGACAGCAGCTGACAATACCGCTTCTAACTGCTCCTCCTAAACGTAACAGACAAACTAAAATGAGCATCTTACATACTTTCAATACCTGAACCATCAACAGGACATGGTTGTTTCCAACCGTATACTCATTCAGACGTCACAAAGTCAGTTAGTACACATGCAACTAATTCCACATTCTTTTTCTTAATTCTAGCCACGGGCCGGACTGCTTCTTGGTCTGAGGAACACATTAAACTTTTCCTCTGCCAGTTCAACTTACTGAAGGCTGATTCTAACCTTTATTCGCATGCCTCTGCATTGTAGTCTCAGTTTACTGAGTTCCAACTAACTGTTTTCGGTAACATCCTCTGCTATACCCACTACGCGTATTGTGCGTGAAGTTTGCCATCAGGAATGCATGAAGGGGACAGACCAAATACACTCTTTGCATGGAAACAGCGAAGCTAAGGGCAAGCAGCTTTCTAGACTATGAAGACGTGAAGCAGTTCCAACGCCCAAAACGTTAAGTTACAATTTTCCAAAGTGACAGGAAAGAAGTGAGACATTTAAAGTCTAATAGGTTTACATTTTAGGCTGTTCAAACACTGTGTCCTAGTGTAGCGGTAATCCTTTAGAAGGATAATGCACAGGTGTGCACAGACATGCAATATTAAGTAGCAGCTTATTTCAGCTGGTGTTCTGATACTTCTTTCAGGTGAAACGATCCTTCATAAAATTTTACTTGCTTCCTTGTTTGCTTGTTTGGTTTTTTTAAACACATTCAAAAGTATCTTTCCCTTCTAGGTAAAATCATTCCAGTCAAAGCGATTTCTACACACTGGAATACACGTGTGATTGATAGTTCCACCTTCTTCTGAAAAGTGGTTGCAGACAAGGAAACACACCAAATACTACTTACGGTGGCAAACAAAACTCCAAAGCAAGCTTCTTGACCCGAATCCTGAGATTTGTCTTACTGACATGCAAACGAAATCCCTGCTCAAATGCCTAACAAGTCTCTGAACGAGGTAGTCCCAATTCAGCAAAGGTTATTAAAAAATTTCTTCATTTCCCAAGTTATTTCCAAACTGGAGTTGACGCCAGAACATCTAATCTGAATGTAAGAGTCTACATCAGGCTTGCAAAAGAAACAGTCTATGGGCTAGGCCAACTTGCCAAGAAATTTACTTTAGCTACCGCACTGTGCAGAAGCGTTACTTGCCCTAACACGCTTCCACAAACCTGGTGAAGAATCCAGGAGACAGGAAGATGAGAGCAGTGGGAAGACTGCTCTCCCCTCCCCACTAATTGCTCCACTGTGGGATGACCAGCTAGCTCATCCGTTAGCTTAGATCCTGCCTGGGTGAAGACAGGCTGCTCATCACAAAGGCTCCATCTCTCATGAAACTCTTTGGATGGGAGAGAAAGGTTGGTGCACGGCAAATGGGAAACCTATGAAAGAGGCGGGTGAAGTCACTATGGTGGGATAAAGCAGGTAGAAGGTAGTGGGTGTCATGAGATAAAGGTGATTAAGGCGTTGCAGCAACAAGAGGGCACTCTAAGAGGAGTAAATTGGGCTACTGTAGCACAAGGCAAAGGCTACAGAGGTGAAGATCTGCTTTGAGAGGATGCAGAAGAGCCTACTGATGAAGGGAAAGTGAGCGGAAGTGGTGATGGAAGTCTCAGGTAGAGCTGACCACAGACAGTAATTGTTTACCACAGCCCACTTCCTTGGAAGCAAATGGTCACGTATCGTGCAGCAAGCTGATGTCTGCAATAGCTCACATCCGAGCGAGACACCCCCTCGGTCAGCTACTGCACTGGACCTAGTGCTTTGAGAAGCTGATGGGGGTGAAGGTTGTTCTAAGGGAAAGATGCTTTCTGCTGCGCATGACCAGCACTGACTGCACGCGTCCTTGTGCGTATCCGGGGCACAGAATTAACAGATGGGTCTCTAAAGACTGT